GCTGGGCCATTGTACTACCGCATTCTACCTCAATGAGTCTTTCTGCTGCTGGGGTGCCGAGAATGGTATGTTCAGGAGGTTCTACAGCGCTTCTTGTAAACTAACATTCTTGTAATAGGCTGCCCCGAGTGGAAGAATTGGACTTCGTGGTGGCTGTTAAATTATGTTTTCTATTTCTTTGGCGCGGTAAGACGTGTGCCCGGCTAGTACTCGAGAAACCATGAACTCATAGGCTAATTCGGAAGACAGTTGGTACTTTCATCTATCGCTGGAGTCCTGGTCAAATCATTTGCGCCGTACGCTGCAGGCTCTGGTATCTCGGAGATCAAATGCATTATTGCCGGCTTCGTCATGAAGGGCTTCCTAGGGGCATGGACTCTTCTAATCAAGTCAATTGCCCTTCCACTAGCTATTGCGTCGGGCTTGTCTGTAGGAAAAGAGGGGCCTAGCGTGCATTTTGCTGTGTGTACCGGAAACGTGATATCACGGTTTTTCGGCAAATACAAACAAAATGCATCGAAGACGAGAGAAATCTTGACTGCCTCAGCGGCAGCTGGCGTGGCTGTCGCTTTTGGCAGTCCGATTGGAGGCGTGCTGTTCTCCCTGGAGGTGAGTTCAATGGTGCGCTAGTTGATAGGATGTAAGCTGACAGTCAATAGGAAATGGCAAACTATTTCCCCCTCAAGACCCTTTGGCGCAGCTATTTCTGTGCCTTGGTGGCAACCAGTGTGCTAGCGGTACGTTTCCCATATTGTCAATTGAGTCTGGACCACACCTGATCCATTCTAGGCTGTCAATCCTTTCCGGACTGGTCAATTGGTCATGTTCCAAGTGGAATATGATCGCACATGGCACTTTTTTGAGTTCATCTTCTTTATTGGTCTTGGCGTCTTCGGTGGACTTTACGGTGCATTTGTAATGAAATGGAACCTTCGAATGGCCGCGTTCCGCAAGAAATACCTCTCACAGTGGCCTATAACCGAGTCGGTTGTCCTCGCGGGACTTACTGCAGTCCTGTGCTACCCCAACATGTTTCTGAAGATCAACATGACCGCAATGATGGAGATCTTATTCCGCGAGTGCGAGGGTGGCCATGACTATCATGGACTATGCGAGTATGATTATTCGCCTCCATATGCATGAAAGAACACCACTAACTCATTGCAGGTCCAAGAACAGATGGTCGATGGTCTTCTCGCTAGCTATTGCAACTGTCCTTCGCACTGTGTTGGTTATTATTTCCTACGGGTGCAAGGTGCCAGCCGGTATCTTCGTGCCTTCGATGGCTGTCGGGGCTTCATTCGGCCGCATGATTGGAATCATGGTACAGGCATTACATGAATCATTTCCCCAATCGGCATTCTTCGCCTCGTGTGATCCGGATGTCCCTTGTATTACACCGGGAACATATGCGTTCTTGGGAGCTGGGGCAGCCCTCAGTGGAATCATGCATTTGACCATTTCTGTAACGGTCATCATGTTCGAGTTGACTGGTGCACTAACCTACATTCTACCGACCATGGTGAGTCTTCATTCTAAATTGCATTATCTCATTCAATCATCCTGACTGTTCTTGTACAGATTGTGGTAGGCGTCACCAAAGCCGTTGGCGATCGATTCGGCAGTGGCGGTATCGCCGATCGAATGATATGGTTCAACGGGTTCCCATTCCTAGACAACAAGGAGGACCACGTCTTCAACGTACCCGTATCACATGCAATGACCACAGGCCCGCTCTCGGTACCAGCATCGGATTTCCCCGTCCGCGAAGCAGAGCATCTCCTAAACGACAACAAATTCCAAGGCTTCCCTGTTGTGGAGGACCGCACTTCCAAGACCTTAGTTGGATACATCGGCCGAACCGAACTCCGATACGCAATCGACCGCGCCCGCAACCAGGGAATGGTCGCGCCAAATGCCCGGTGCGTGTTCACCAAAGATGCAGCCGAGGCAGCCGTTGCACGCAGGGCGTCCGTCTCACACCACTCTCGGTCATCAGATACATTCGATGCAATTCAGAGGAGTGTGGGGGCTTCTTTCGTGGATTTCTCGCGATATGTCGACCACACGCCGCTGACCGTTCACCCGCGCCATCCTCTCGAAACGGTCATGGAGATCTTCAAGAAGATGGGCCCGCGAGTCATTCTCGTCGAGCACCGCGGCAAACTAATCGGCTTGGTCACCGTCAAGGACTGCTTGAAGTATCAGTTCAAGGTCGAAGCCGAGGAACATACACTGGCCGCAACGAGTTCTTCTCAATATAGTGCGCTTGGTGGGCAGCTGAACAACCCTGCCCCTGAAACACTGGAAGACCGCTTGTGGCGGCTCATCCAGACTGCCGCTGCGTTTGTGTCTGGTAAGATCTCTCGCCGGCCGGTCCGACCGCGTGACCGCACGATGCCTAGGCAATCGGAGCCGTCGGATATCCTCGAAGGGAGGGATGATGACGCGGTAGTAGAGTTGGAGGACAGAGAGGACCGGCCGATGATATGAAATGCGGGATCGCTATGTTGCCACGTTTATACGTTACATTGATAGAGAGTTATTTGCTACATACGAAACGTTGCTCGCTCATCTATTTCCCATAATTGCAAGCTCTTATATGTTTAAGCCGACGGAGGCAGGAACTGGAATTCCCCATATTCGCCTAATAAAATCTACACTTGCCTCAACTAAATTCTTTGATACGGAGGTTATCGGGACTTAGGATTGTTCATCTCGGGATCTTCGATGGCTCTATGAAACAAATTTTAGGAACAGAACATTATGCTTGCCAAGCTGACATATCTCCAATGACATTTTGATCAAGTTTTTTTCCCCCGCGGTAAGACGCAGTGAATAGCCGCAGAATGATCTGACTTTGCCAAGTTGGTCGCCGACGATAGATCCGATGTTGTTGCAGCCTCAAGTGAAGATGTACTCGTCCCCGTAGACTAGCAACCCGGTATTTTGAAAGTCGCCCTCACTTCTCAACTTAATATAACCATCCGAATTGGCGAACCCGTGAATGATAGCTAAGACTAAGACTTCCCCTGTACCTCCTGCGTGCTAGTGGATATGCAAGTGGAATTCGGCCATCTGCTCAATGAAGAGCAAACCCGATCGAGGCGTGTGGTCAGAGTTGTGGAGCCATCATTTGGCATCCGTGCAGGTGATTCAGGCAGCCTAACTTCGACGGCTAAGTGCTGTCAATTATGGAGAAAATGCGGACGCAGGGTCGGGATCATACTGTAATCCGGTTCCCTTCCACAGTGGTGTCACATCTTGAGGTAAAAGTAGATTGGAGTTTCGCTATGTGAAGTTCATAGCGGGCGGATAGTTAACAAGCAGATGCGGGCGAGACAATCCCGGTTATCCCTGGATTTCTCTTTGGCCAGGCCGACGAACAGTTTCCATAATCTCCAAGCATAATGTGACCACCTCGTCCTACCGGTCGTTTTGTCTGCGGGGACAATGAAGGCAATTTCCGCTTTTTGGGTGTAGTAGAGGCCTTTTTCTGTCCCGTACCTTTTCAATGCCGGCCCGTATTCTTGTATTTTCCGGCATTGCGTTGTGGATGAATCGATCATGGCTATTTTGCGATTGAATTTCTCTGGAAATTCAAATGGTCTGTTCCATTTTGCTCGTTCATTTCAGCTCACACGCTTGACTGGCTGGATTGTCAGATATCCAGCAAGCCATCTCGGCGGTCTCTTGCCATATAAGGTCTGTACAAGGATTCCATTTCCGAATTTACGCTTGGCCGTAATGATTGTAGGGATCCCGGGAATTCGACTCTCTTAATAACGGCATCACGATATACGTCGTATTAATTGTGAATCGGTAGACAGGGGATGTCTGGAGCATTGCCGGAGACGGCATGGGGGAGAGGCAGCAGGTAACTGTAGGCACAAAAAGTAAGGAAATGATTCTATAATCGCTGTGGCTTCACTCACTGGATGACCTGTCTGCTCTGTGGCCCCCGAATCAGGCGTATCACGTATAAGCGTGGGCCGAGTGTACGAGAGGGAATAAGTAGGAAGTGAGAGGTAAGAGGTAAAGCATCATCGGCCTTGGCAAACGCATTCCATTCCCCAAATATGCTAAAAGATCTCGTGACCAGCCACCGTCCAGTCCTCCGACCACAACATACTGACCTCATTACACCTATAACCACCAGTACTATCTAAATACCATTTCCCGGGACTACCGTACCTGGCCGATAAAGTAGCTTCGCGTTCAGCTTCAGCCGCACCCCTCGCCAATTCCTTTATTTACATGAGTTGTTACATGGATCTTGGCATTTATATGCCTAATGCAGTATTGCCGAATGTGGTATTGCCTAATGCAGTATGTGGGGTAACTCTATAGTATAAATGTATTTTGATTGGTGCATAATTAACGAGCTAGCCATTTTAGGACTTGTGCATAACGCTATGATTCCCCATAGTCATATGACAACACACCTAGTTAAGACCTTGTGATTTAACTAATAACTATTGCTCCGCTTCGCTTCAATTATTCAATCTTGACCGGGTCTACGATGAATATTCCCAGACAATGAAACCACTTCAGCAACCCCGCACTATTCGACGGAGATGCAGCACAAACGCTATGGATGCGAGTTTCTTGTCTAGACTCTTCATAATACTCGTGGATATCCCTCGGATAGACGGAAATACATGCCCCTTTGTCTCTTGTATTATCATCGCCTTGTCGGGTGATACGATGCCGGCTTGCGCAAACTGCCACTCCACGCCCAACCGGATTTAGAGACTGGGCAATTTGGACGTTGTTGGATTGAGCAGCCCTTTTAAAAGGCTAAGTAAGGTTGATAGGGGAACCAAGATATCCTAGGTCTGGCTCATTCGATGAGCCCCGTATGTACATATTTTTCTCGATATCATGATTTAGTAACATAGTCTTTCCTCTTCCCTTCTTTCCCCGAGCGAGTCCTGTCGATAGATACAATACAGTCTTATTCTCTCTCCTGGTTGCCTTCAAGGCTTTTCATATCATGGTCAGTTTGCATGCACTATCGCTTTCGTAGACTCATCATCCGTATCACTTCCTTCTCTCCTTGTGAAACGTGAGAGCGGAATGCTATCCCTTTGATAGCGGCGTGAAGTACTTTCAATTCGACTACCTGGATGATAGCCTCGGCGACTGGCTGACGGTGAGATGCCAGCGCTGCTTGGAAATAGCTTTGGAAACAGCTTATTCATGATCGGATTGGTTGCCGGGATGCTGGCAGCGATGATAGCGACAGCTATCTCGATTCCCGAAGAAATAGAAATCCCGAAGGTATCCCAGGAAGGGTCTGAGCTTTGGTATAATTTCACAATGTAGACCATCCGCACAATGCTGGCTATACACGCACTTTTATCTAGTTAGCACTAATGCATATCAAATAAAATCACGCCCTATACATACAAGGACCCTAGTGATAGCAAAGCAGCGACGGCAAATTTCTTGCTAATTTTGAGATGAAGACCTGGAATTGATTAGAGTAATAGCTAGAGCGAATCGGTGACCACAAACCTAGAACTGTTCTCAGTGGCAAGAGAAGAATCCAAATATCCGTCACCAGAGAAAGCGCGGCACCCGCATACCAAAATGGGATAGATGCAAAGCAAGTATGATGTTCATATTTCTGTTCATCGAAGACGGCATTGACCGGGGTGCACTGGAATATCGTTGCGAGGATAATGGCGACCGTGACGAATGAGATGGTTCCAAGGCAGATTACTCGGATGTTAGGGAACACGCGTAGGTATAGCAGACAGATTGATACTTTGATCAGACCGCCGATTAAGGTATAAATAATGTGAGTCACGTATCGAATCTATATTGTTGAGACTGGTTAGCCTCTTCTTTCCAATTGTGTTATGACAGTTATCATTCTGCCTATACCTTCGCCGAAGGTAGCACATCTGATTTAACGAGATCCCATTTGTGCTTTCCTGTTCCATACCTGACTCCTACTCACATATAAGAGACGGGATAACCATATAAGGAGTAGAAGGCGTACCAAGTCCCGCAACCACCACGTTCACAATTGCCAGAATCGTCGCAGTCATTATCCAGTCGTCTAGGCCAAACATTTTCACGATGAAGATCCTCGAAATTGTGCGAAGACCCACAATGAGTGCCGCGAGGCCCGTCACCGTGCCGTTGATGATCAGCAATATAGGCCCACGGTTCTCAACCTAAAGAGACAGTTAGAGAAAGCTCTGGGAGACTGTTCTTCCTCTGAGCCTTCACTTACATCAGATCGCGTCTGAAAGAGCGTCTCCATAATATGTTGATGTCCTTGAAAAGAGAATAGGCCCCATATTAAATAATTTCTATCCCTGGGATCCTTCGAGGTATGCATTGGCTTTTTGCACCCAAGGATCTAGGGCTTATACTTTCGGACATAAATCATACTTCCGGGTGGCCCCAAACACTAATTTAATCTAATCACAGAGACAGGCTGTCGTAAGCTCCGCCCGTCTTGCTTTCGCTTAAGGATTGGACTAGTTACTACTAGGAAAGGCTCTAGCGTATTTCACATGCGAGCATCAAGTTGTAATTTACCGCATTTACTATGTGTGCTTGCGTGGCCGGCTTGCATGCGGATGTTGAGGCATAGATCCGGCGTTTTATCCCGGTGGATAAGCAGACTGCAGGGAGCGAATGCCAGTGTGAAGCGCTTGAAAAAAGGCGCTAATCTCGGTGTTATCACCAGTTATATTCTACAGGATCTGCTAGTACGGAGTAGTAGTAATGAACGATCCACCTTTATCACCTTGGCACTTTAAAAAGAAATTACACCTTCCGATTGCTTGGGCTGGGCAATAAAAGGGATGTTATAATCCTTGTAGAAAATTAATCTACTCTGAATAGCCTTTTTTGGTTTCACTTTGTTTACAATACACACACTTCTCGACGTTCGAATGATCCTGATGCCTTCTCTTTTGCAGAACCTCCTGCTAGCAATTCCCCTGGCATGTCTAGCTAGCAGCCATGCCATCAGTGATTCCCTCGGCTCGAACTATAAGATCGATGTTCATTCCCATGTCGTTCCGTCGATTTGGAAGGAGGAATTGATCTCTGCAGGCTACCCAGTCAAGAATGGTACTTTGTATACAGATGGCTTCCCTGTCCCAGATTGGACATTGGATGCACACATTAGCACCATGGACAGCCTTGGAGTTAATTATTCGACAATCAGTGTCAGCGCCCCTGGCGTCTTCTTCCTAAAAGATGCCAAAAAGGCCAAATCCTTAGCTCGCAGCGTCAACCTCCTGCTTCATAAGTATACTCGAACTCATCCGACTCGACTTGGAGCCCTCTGCCTTCTCCCTCTCCCTTTCGTCGGCGAGGCGGTTGAGGAGTTGAAGGTACCTTTCTTTTCTTCCCCTAGTAAATTTCTGATCAAATCTAACTTGGAATTCGTAGTTTTGCCTGGATACCCTCGGGTTTGTTGGCGTGGGGCTGTACACCAACGCCAATGGGACGTATTTGGGTGACAAATCCCTTGACCCTGTTTTCTCGGCCTTGCACAAACGCAATGCCAGCGTGTTTGTTCACCCAGCTTCTCCAGACTGCACATCCGTCGCCCAGGGCTGGCCCATCCCGATGACCGAGTATCCTTTCGACACCGTGCGTGCCATTGAGAACCTGCTGCTGACTGGTCAACGTGCACAATATCCGGACATCAAGATGATCTTTGCCCACGGTGGTGGTGCAATCCCATTCTTGGCCACCCGAATCGCCGGCATGGCCTCCCTTTCCTGGTTGGGTGGGCTGTCGGTCGTTGAATCCCTGGCGCAACTCGCCGGGTATTATTTTGATACCGCTTCCTCGACTTCTGCTATTCAGTTGACGGCTTTGAAGAGCTTTGTTGGCGTGGATCAGATTGTAACTGGAACTGACTGTAAGTGGGCAGTGCCAGTAACAGCGCTGAAACACTAACGCATGCAGATCCGTATGTTCCTGTCTCCCAGGCAACGTCGGGATTAGCCGCGATCGAGGGTAATGGTAACTTTACCACGGTGGAGATGGGTCAGATCGATAATCTGAATGCCTTGACGATCTTCCCGCGGATCATCAAAGCTTTGAAGCTTAATTGAGATGTATATTAGGCATTGCTTGTAGATTATTAACATAGAACAGCCTTTTTAATCACCGCATTCGCGGTTAACACTATTTTCATATAATTCATTTCGTTTTTTTGTGTCTTCCGGTGCCTGTCAAGTGCTCATGCAAAGTACAGGAGGGCTGTCTTGATTATGCATTAGGCTTACCCACAAAGCAAAATCAAATCAAAACAGATGCCTAAAAGAACTCCTTTTACCGAAGTGCACCCAACCAAGGGTGTCGCAAGAGGTCCTCAGCGGAAATTCGATCAGTAGGATTGATTTTCATCATCGCGTGCAAAAAGGAGACGAACTCATCCCTGACGCCTTGGTCGAGACCTGGCAGGAATGCTTCCGATGCCAGCCCCGGCCGATTCATTGGCAGCGAGTTCTTGATCCGGCCATTATCATCAAATATGTCCTGAACAATGTCCTTGTTTCCTCTCCCTAAAAGCTCCTTAGGAAATGGCCCGAATAGATCCACAATCTCTCGTAAGTGTTACTTGAGCTCATAATGGCCGTCTGGCGGGGCCGATCCGCTGAACATGCGAACTGCCCGGAAGACCTCGAATACGACACACCCGAGGTTCCACCAGTCGGTGCTCGCGTCCCACGGCGCCTGTATCAGAACTTCGGGAGATCGAAGCGCTACAGGCTGTATATCTCGCTGAGATGTCGGTCTTCAGCTGGAGACGCCCCAGTCTCCAAGGGCGATATCAAATTCAGCAACGCGCGTATTGTCAGTTTCGCTGAAGTAATAGCGGCGTAAGGGGATTGAGGGGACGACTGAGTACTGTTCCTCGGACCGATTCTGTTTGGGAATGGCGACCTCGGCCAGATAACCAGATTCTAAAGGGAAAAATCCCTAAACTTGACGAAAATGTTATCCGGTTTTATATCTGATCGTGGACAAGAAATATTAGCATGTCATATATCATAATGACCAAGGATGAGAGAGCATATCATACCTGTGTGAATAACATGATGTTCGTAAGCAAAATCAAGCGCCAGTAGGAGTTGGATGGTGAACCTGCGCATCACCGAGTTCGGAAATCTACTTTCGATGAACCAAGCGCCGAAGCTCCGTAGCGTTTCGCCCATCAGCTCAAAAACCAAGCAGACGTGAGTTCCGTTAGGTCCGTGGTGCTCAAAGTCATCTAGCAGATGGCAGACGTGGTTGTAACCCAGCTGATTGCGGTCCCCATTCCGGAGATGAGTCAAGATCTCTCGTTCGAAAATGGGGGCTTGCGTGCCATCATAGCACTCGGCGCTGAGCACTTTCAGAGCTCGGAACTCATTTTCAATGCCAGGTCTGTTTGGGTGTGTTATCTCTATTTATTCCCTTTTTCTAAAAAGATTCTACTCACTGTACCGGCTGTAGGTCTCTGACAAGCCAGACTGTCGAATAGACACCATATCCAATCTTATTCAGGACCTTGCACCGGTCTTTGAAGACGTCGTTGATATGAACAGGGTGAAATCCTCCCGGTCGGTACACCTGCATGCCTTCCTCGATATTGTCGTTGGTATTGTCGGGCATCTCGGAGAATAGAACGACGTCCGTAGTGAAGGTGAGAGTTGAAAGGCTAAAGCTCAGCGGGAATCACAGTCGCAGCGGCATACAGTAGTGAAAATATGCAAGTAGACTTGGCTACGAGTCTTATCCCTGGATGGGTTCTCAAGGAGGTCGATTCAGCTCGTCCAAATGAGACTAGCGTGGTTTCTTGGCAGTAAATTCAGCCCAATCGGCCACGAGCCAATAATATACGGATTATGAGGTCAAGTACTACTCAAAACACGCAGGTCCATAGTCCTTTATATTGAAGAGGGGACCCTGCAACGGGGACAGCAGGGGCACCGACAGCCCTGCCTGCGAAATAGGTGTGAGAGCAGAGTCGTCACTGGGAGTAGTAGGGTGCTAGATAGGAGAACACCATGGGGTGACTACTGAGAATGGAAGGTGGTTGAAGGTGTCTGCGTTGGTATCTATGCCTCAAGAGTGCTTTTATATCCACCTGATATATGGCCGCTTAGTCATCCTGCTCTGGAAACCAGGAACTTCAGCGAATAAATACATACAGCTCCTTAAGACCTCGCAAAGGATTATATCCCGACCTCTGTCTTTCTCTTCCCATAAGACAATCATTTCAATCGTATATGTCTGCCACTAGTACAAGAAGAAGAAGGTGTGGGAGTTGCTGTGCGCCTTAGGGATGCAGTTTTTTCTACTCTAGATATCTCTTACAATAATTGGCTAGAACAAAGGGGTAATGATATAGTTTGTTTGACTGTAATTATTCACATTGATATAAAGCCAAACCTGAATAACAAACACATAGAGTGACCTCCGTCTAAGTCGCTCTAGGGCAGCTCTGCAAGGGCAGCCACTCTCTGTAAAACCCTTTGTAAAGCCGGACCCGAGTAGCTGAAGCCCGTATGCTCCGTTTTAACAAAGCAAAATTGGAATGGACGATATAGTCTCTTGTCTAGCGAACTTTCCGCGAGGGAGTATTCTGGAATCTTCCTAAAGTTCAAAAACTCATTCGCTTCAAGTACACTATGCAGAATCACACTGTCAAGCTGGTACGAGCCTCCACCCAACTTGCGGAGAATGGACCGCCAGCCCCCAAGCTCCAGTTCTACAAAAGAAAATGTCACATGGCGAATAGAATCTTGAATACTGTAAAGGAAGATGCCCAAAGCAGCCGAAGATTCGAATGACATTCGCGAGAAAGTCAATTCTTGTAGTTCTGGCAAGCACCCAGCCGACGAAAGCTGGGAGAGAAGGAAAGTTGATTCGCACTTCCAGTTGAAAATGATCGTCAGCTTTTTGAGAGATTTGGCACATTGGATCATTTTCGCCATCCAATGTATAGTCTTGGTCTCGGCATCGGGGATTGCAAAGCACAGTTCCTTGAGGTGGGAAAAGGCCGGGATACCAAAAGTGGCGATATCAAATTGTGTTAACTTATCCTGAAACACTCTGGTTCTGTTTTTCACAATGCTGATTGAGAAATATTCCATCGGAATCTTCTCATTAGCAATGGCTTTGAGAACAAGACCAGTGGCTTCGTCAAGCGTGATGCCATGGCTGTACGCGTACGGTGTTGTATAACTTGAATTGTGCAGCTCGAAAGACCGGCAGTTGGACAGGCGTTTTATCACATCGCACCACGCTTGAATATAGATCCTTTTTGATGTGGCATCAGGGGATAATGGTCCTAGGCAGCCCTTTGAATCCCTGACGATCTCTAGCTTGCGGACACAGGGACGAAACATCTCGTCATTGGCTGCTTCCTCGACCCGGGTAAGTGAATTCGGTGAAAGATCGGTCCTCAATGTGTGTACAAAAGTGTGTGCAAACTGGCGAAGGCTGCTCTGATAAATCGCTCGGCAGGTGAGTCGAAGAGCGCATAGATCAGGAGACTCGGTAAACTTGACAATTTCCGCCACCAGTTCAACTGGGAGAGTATGGAGACCTGACTCGCGCGCTATGTTGGTGCTCATACTGAACCGTGGAGTGGGGGACTTGATAAGAAAAGAAGGAAGAGAGTTGAGATGAGATATAGTTGAATGAAAGAGAATGGTGAGTTGGAAGAGAAGGAAGAGGAGGGTAATTGAAGCTCCGGTCTTGTTTTAGGAACTAGATAGTTTCTCGATAACGGCATAGAAATGCAGTCATCAAGGCCGCTCCCGTTTTGGTATATAGGGCATCATCACAGGTATATATAGCTCCATTACCAAATTATGACATAGGCGGACAATTAAAAAAGAGGGCGGAATAGAAGACGAAATTTGGGGTTATATCAAGCCATATATAGGAATAAAGACCTGCATTATCAGACAGATATGCAGGCAAACATATAAAACAAGCTAGATGAACATAGCCCTTTCCCTGTTATGATTTGATGCCGACATGGTAATACAAAGTGATGAAAGGAAATTGAACAGTCTTTTGTCCACTGTGGAAGGTCCAGTTGGTGAGATCAAGATCTGGCTGATTCAGCAGTTGCCAGGTTTCCTTCGTGGTGCGAGTTCGTAGGCAGGATATAAGCCCATCAACGAAGATAGTCAGAGGCGCTACGGGCAGAATAAATGTGAAAAAGAGATGGACTGGCGAATCCCAGTACCAAACAAGAGTTACAAAGAAAGTCCAAAAGAAGACCAAAGGCGAACATAGACAAGTCCAAAGATCGCGTGATGTGATTTCGAATATGCTGAAGGGGATCGGATTAGCTTATAGAACAAGTTAGTGTTAATAGATTGATAACTTGCATAAACGAATCGGCGGTCTCAATTGCGCTCTTCAGTATTCCTGCTGCATCTTCATCTCCGAAGTGGTGGAAACAAATGTTGAAGATCCGACACTCCTTTTTCGAACTTTCTGCAAATCGAGGAACAGCTCGAGCATCCACCGCACTCTCGATATAAGTGACGTTCTGCTGCTTCTTCGAGATTCGCTCCCACTCTTCAATATGGGGGTAAAGATCGCTCAACACAAAATGAACAGGGCCCTTACCCTCGGATTCGAGCTCTTTATTGAGCTCCGATTCCAGGACTGGGGTAGGCCCACCGGCACCGGCACATATGTCCAAAACTGTGTAAGAGGAAAGATCTTTCAGATGCTCTTTGAACACTGCACAAGCCTGTTTCGCAAGATTTCCATGGCTCCACCCGGGAGCTCGAAGATTCCACAGTTGGGTGAGAACCAGTTGCTCGTGCCGATGAAGCCACGATGGGCACCAATCTTGGTCGCCGATCTCTAGAAGATGTGATCGAGGCCAAGAGAATAGTTGCATTATGTGTGCTTTTAGATATTGCTGAGAAAAGTTGTCTGAACTGAGATAGGCCGCTGACAGGGAAATCGCTCAGTCACGTGCCGGCACACAGACTCTTGGGGACACTTTTCAAGAAAAAAAACACAATGACAACAAAATATACTGAGTTGATAGCTTGTGTCTTTGAAAGGTCGTGTCGTCTTGGATGTTACGTGTGGCTATATCCGGGGCGACCTTGGGATGTTTCCTTGTCAACAATCCACAACTCCTTCACAAAATACATAACTTCTATTCAGTCTTATGACATTGCAACCAACCCATCTTGTCACCCATGAACTGAACCTGAAGTCCTACACATCCATGGATATATTTCTGCACACTAACTGCACGGTGGTCTCAATCGGAATTTCCACTAGTCCTAATTCGGACTCAACGCAGTTCAGGGAACATCACTTTGACATCAACGAAGAACATGAAGGTTGTTATTGTCGGCGGAGGTCTAGGTGGCCTAGCATGTGCAATTGCCTGTCGCCGTGAGGGCATCGACGTGGAAATCCTCGAGCGGTCCCCCGAAGTCCACGAAGTTGGAGCAGGAATCCAAATCCCACCAAACGGCGGTAGGATAATGTGCGACTTTGGCCTGCTTCCCCAACTACTGGAGCAAGGAAGTCAGGTGCAACAAGTAGATTTCCGGAGGTACAAAGATGGTCGTCTTCTGCGATCAATGCCATTTGGGGACGATATCACCGAGGAGTTTGGGGAGCCGTGGATGTACGTGGTTGATTGCCTTGGCGCGATATTGTCAGACTCTTACCCTTCGCAGAATTATTCATCGGGTGGACTATCATCGCATCCTTCTTGATGAGGCAATCCGACTCGGTGCGGTCCTTCAACTGGGGGCAGAAGTAGAGGATATTTACACCGAGCAGCCAGCCGTTCTTCTTGCTGACGGGAGATGCATATCGGCAGATATTGTGATTGGTGCTGACGGTACGTTCATAGATCTTTTGCCGACTATATATTTAACCATCTCTACTGACAAGGAAAGGTCAAATGTCTACGGTCCGAAGGGCTATTCTTGGATCTCCTCATTCTCCAGTCCCCACGGGCGACATGGCCTATCGAGCAACCTTTTCACGAGAGCAGCTAGAGTCTTTGGGTGATGAAAGAGTAAACAAACTGTGTCAGAAAATTGCCGTCACAAGCTGGTTGGGACCGGAGAAGCATACGATTTTCTATCCCCTCCGTGGTGGAAATGAGTTCAACCTTGTTCTCGTGCGGCCCGATACCTTATCATTGGGTTCGCGCAGAGAGCAGGGAGATATTGAGGAGATGCGAGAGAGCTATGCGAACTGGGATGAAACGTAAGGACCCTTGGAATAGTCGACTGCAATTTCCTAATATGAATCTCGCTTTTTAGATTACAAAAGCTGGTTTCGTGTGTGCCATCGGTATATAAATGGAAATTGACACACCTCTCCGAGCTTGAATCGTGGACCAAGGTCGGTACAATACCATGTCCTTCCAATCACGAACTTGCTAACTGGGACTTACTAGGGATCTGTTGCCTTGCTTGGTGATGCCTGCCACCCCACTCTGCCATATCAAGCACAAGGGGCTGCAATGGCTGTCGAAGACGGAGCAGTCATTGGCAAGCTTCTTGGCCTATTGCAGGTTCATTATCTGGATCCTAGAAATTCCGGAAGCGATCCCTCAATATCCACGCGATCTTCAGCTCAAGATCTCACAGCTGCTGTGCTTACTCTCTACGAGAAATGCCGAAAAGCACGCACAGCCCGAAATGTTCAAGGAGCAATCATGAATCGGAAGCTTTTTCACATCCCAGATGGCTTTTTGCAAATGATCCGGGATTTCCTGTTGGGATATGCAGGAGTTACCCGGAAGAGCGATTGGACATGGCTGTCTTCATTTCGACAGGGGCAAACCCTTGGTCTAGATGTGCTGGAGGATTGCCAAAAGGTCTTTGAGGAGTGGAGATTGACACTTTGATTGCACATCATGTGGTGATAGATGGCTATACGTCACTCCTGCATCTATTGCTATACTATAGATCCATTTACAAACCCCATACTCGATATCACTTCCGTACATACTACCAAGCCAAACCAAATCCCATCAACATATCCAAAATCTCTAGATCAATTACAGATTATAGATAGATCCAAACAACCTATATAACACCTAACCTCAAACCCATCCCAAAGCTAAGCCCCTTCCCGCATCCCAACCAAAATACACCCAGCACCCATCATCCCAGCCCCCAACCACCAAAGCCCACCAACCGCCTCTTGAAAAACAACCATTCCCAGCAGCGCCGTCGCCAAGAAATTCGACGCCGTATTCGTGATGGAGACTTTGACCGTCGAGGGGCCAGCCGTTAGCGCGCGCGTGAAGAGTGCCCACATTATTATGTTGCAGAGGACGTTTAAGCCGAGGCAGGCCTGGGTATTGCGTTAGTAACAGAATTACAGTATAACACCCAGTTATACATGTATATTGTAGTAGATGGATAGTCCAGAGACAAAGAGAAGGGGTGTAAACATACACCTCGAGTGAGCATCTCAATCACAGGCGATGACTCCAGACCGAAGAGGTGAGCGAGGGATTGCGCGAAGGCCGTTGTGTGGTCGTCCGTGGTCCTGTGGAACGTTAGCATGGTTCGTGGTTACACGGATCATAGCTTATATAGCTTTTTAGCTTGTATATATAGAGTATTTCTCCGATCTTGTTATAGGGTAGATAATCCACCTACAATTTCGCGAAAACACCGTTCAATGCAGCGAAGGCGCCGCTCGTTATTGCGAGCACGATCCAGGGGGATGTGGAAGACTGAGGGATTGACTGAGGCGTTGAGGTGGACATGGCTGCGGTTGATCTATAACTGTATATCCTGTAGTTTATCAGGCTCTTTTTATAGGCTTGCAGGCTATGTGCAAGTAGCGTAGAACTCAAGGGCTAGGTATTTTGGAGTGACGTTGAAGGAGCTTGCGTGCCAAGACTGATAGTGATAGATAAGAGAGGCTGATATGGATGATCGACGCGAAACATCACGATAGCTCAAGTAGCACTTGTTTGATTAAAACGCCGAGTATAATACCAGTAGATATGCAACTAATCTCTACCCATCACTACGGCGACAGCCTCTGAACTCGCCATTTAGCACCCGCCCCCTCACCCTCAATACGCACATACCGGAATCGATCATGCAAGCGACTCCGCCGTCCTTGCCAGAACTCCACAGACTCCGGCACAAGCCTCACACCACCCCAGAAAGGCGGCAGGGGAATATCTTCAACACCCGCAAACCTCTCCTCCATCTCCTTAACCTTCGACTCCAGTAGCGCACGCCCATCATCAACGTCCGTCTGATCAATATCCGCCGGAACAACCGAGTCTAGCAACTTCGCCACACTCTTCCTTCGCTGATTCTGCTCCATCTGGGCCGGCTCCGCAGACCACAAAACCCTACTCTGCCAACTCGCCCATCCCCCAATCCGACTGCCGCGCTCGCGGGTCCGCCAATACATCTCGCTCTCCTGACGACTAAGCGGCTCAAGCAAGCCCTCAATACGGACCTGACGCTCAACACTCGCCCAGCTGAACGTCAGCGCGGCCCATTTATTTCCCGAGCCGACCTCAGAGGTCACGGTTGGCTGTGAGCCCGGTTCTGGCATGGCGCCCAGTGTATCGGCGCTCTCGCCGAGCCCGAAGACTTGTCCGCCTTTGCCTTCCCTACTACCCCAGTTGCTGTAGACAACCCAGCCGCGCTCGTCGAGTTCTTTCAGGTATACGACGCGTGCGCTGACGCGGCCCGAGGGCAGGGAGGCTGTTGATAGGGTGCATGTTTCTGGGGCGGAGGAGGCTGGGAGCCGCGAGTCGCGGAACCAGTTGTGGAATTGGTAGAGGGGATCTGTGCCGTGGATTTGTGAGATGGTTAGGGGTGGGTTTGTGCCGAACTGGTGTGCGCGTGCGGCGTTCGAGAGGACTTCAGTTTCGGTTGCGGTTTTGTCGGTGGTTGTTGCGGGGATTGCTTGGGGTTGGGCATCTTGGGTGGGCTTGTTGGAGGTTGGTGCAATGTCGCCTGGTGCGACTTTGGGAAATTGATGTTAACTTGAGGTTCGTATGGGTTGGGGAGGGGTTGGTCGGATCTTTTGCAGAGGGATGGCTTGAGATGTAGACTTTGGACTTACAAATTAGCTTCTTTGGACGCCTCCCGGCGTCTGTCTGGCGTTCCTCTTGGGCCATAGTTGGCTTGTTATTGCCGGGTTGGTTGGTTGAGTTGGTTGAGGAATATCGGAGTTGGCGGGGGCGGGGAACGGTGCGGAGGAATGAGTCAACGGGTGAACGGAGAATTAAGGGTAAACAAGTCTGCATTAAAGACGATGAGTGAATGGCATAAGTGTCATACCTCGAATTTAAGAGATTGAAGAAAAGTCCAAGTTGGAAGCTGTGAGTTCCGCAGGAATCCTATAAGATGTTTTCAGCGGAAACTCCCGAGGCGTCATGCCATTCCTTAGAGAAGGCGGAGTACAATAGTTAGTTATAGAAAATCAGACAACATGTTTAACAGTTTAAGTAGTTCACTCTGCTTCATTTTCATTTTCGCGTTTAAACGCGGTGGGAGAGTTGAGATGTCTATGAACAGGAATAATCACAGTGGTATACAGTGCTTCAATGCACGACGCCCTTTTTGATCGCCAAATTAAACGCCGGACCTTCGCTGGATGCCAAAATATATCGTAAATCCAAAAACAAATAATAGATATCCCACCAGGTATATCCAACTGCCGCCCTGCAGACGCCGAACCGGAAATATCCCAACACAGGGATCCAGCCCTGGCAGAGAGGTTGTAGGGGTGCAACACAAACATTAAATGGGTATCACCTGGTCACATACACAGTCAAGAGAAATTAGAGAGACGAAGAAACACCGATGAGATCGATGATCTTGCCGGCCACCGCAGAAGGGTATCCGCGCGACATCATCTCCTGGACGACGGTGGCGGCATTGGCGTGATCATCGGCGCTCAGGAATGCACGAGTCATCGCTTCGTAGGTGCTGGGCTCTCGCTTCTGAATGCCGATGCTGTCGTAGATGGCCTTGGCCTTAGTCACGTTACCCTCGGCGGCCCAGCCGTGGATCAGCGTGTTGGCAATGTAGGCAGTCATCTCAACTTTGCGTGCAAACATGTTCTGGACGACTTCTTCGGTGTCGGTGACACAGTGATTGGCGACCATGGATTCAAAGAGGGCTTGGTAGAGGCATGGCTGGAGGCGCACACGGCGGTCGGAGACAACGGTGTCGAAGACTTTGCGCGCGCCGGCGAGGTCGTGCAGGACGCAGCCCTTCGCGTGCACTAGCGAAGCATAGTGCACGGCATCCGGGTGGTGACCTGCAGCCTTCATGGATTCCAGCACGGCTTCAGCGGCGGCCATATTTACTGGCTCCAGGGAGGCGTGTGCGTCAATGAGAAGCTTGTAGGTGTGCAGGGTGGGTTGGATGTTTCGAGCCTGCATACGCTCGTAGTAGGCCAGAACTTTGCTGATGTCGCGCTTGGTGTTGAGGAAGTACTGGATCATAGAGTTGTAAGGCGCGGGACGCGGCTTGTAGTTGGGCATGGACTCCATCTCTTCGAACATCTCCTCGGCGAAGCGCTCGTCGCTCACACGGCAAAGGGCATTCACAATGGTTCCGTAGGTAACACTTGTCGGACGCACGTTGTTGGCACGCATCTCGGCAAAGTACGCAAGGCAGTCGTCAATGCGGCGGGCCTTGCCCAGCTTGCCGATGAGCGCGTTGTACAGGAAGGAAGTGGGCTCCACGCCTTCAGCGACGGCACGGTGGAAGACCCTGAGGGCCTCGGTAGCCTCGTCGAAGGTCTTGGTAGACTCCTTGAGCGTGGTGATGTACAAGCCGAAAGTGTTGGCCGAGGGTGCGGAACCGAGAGCGAGAAGCTCCTGGTGGTACTGAGCAGCCAGCTTGCGGTCACCTAGGGTGAGGCAAGCAGCAACCATGGCATCAAGAATCGATACCCAGCCGTATTTGACAACGCTGAAGTTCATATCGAGGGGAACATCGGTCCGTGCCATACTGTGAATGTCGTGAGCCAGGGTCATGCGGCCAGCCTTGGCCGCGGCGGTAATCAGTTTAGCATAGGTGATGTAGCGCGGGTGACGACCAATGCGGCGCATGTTGGTCAGACGAGTCAGGGCCTCATTGAGGTGATTCTCGGTGCGCCCGCTAGTCTTCTCAAGCTCCTCTGCGATAATGGCGGATCCGCGGAAATCGGTCGCGTGAGCATAAGGATCAAACGATTCGGGAGCCACAGATGGAGTCGTGATCGAGGTTTCCGCCATGGAGACGGGGCTTTGACGATCCGACGAAAGGAACATCTGAGAAGGCGAAACTGAGGTCTGGGAGCCTGCCTCTAGATAATCTTGCCACTTCTTGACGACATCAGGGCGACTGACAAAGAGCTTGCCAACAGCCTGGTCGATGAGGCCAGTGGTGTAGAGATCCAGAGGGAGAGCAGAAGACAGAGCGACGTCAAGCATGTGCGCAAAGCGAACGAGATGGGCGACATCGAACAACATGGAACCGCTGCTGACCAACATGCCAGCCTGGACTTGGAGTACCAGGGTGAGGTCAGCGGCCTTGAGCTGTGAGATACCGATAGGGCCAAGGTTGGCGACAGCGTGCTCAGCGAGAGGAGACACTAGACCACCATTCTCTAGCATGGACCACAAGAGTGTCATGGATGATTGAGGCGAGAGAACCGCGGTCGATTGCATAAGGACGCGACCAAAGAGATGGAGTGACTCGGTAATCTGTTCTCTGACGAGGTTGGCGACAGCAGCGTGTTGATCTTGGGTGGCGTTGCGGATACGCTTAAACATATTGCGGGCCTGGTGAAGACCTTCCTCGACGTTTCCACTCTTGAGCAAAGCGACCGCATACATAGCTGTCGGCTGGACCAGATCCGGGGTTGCCTGACCCACCGTGTTCAGCATGATCCACAAGGAACGGGCAGCCGAAACATTGCCCCGGCGGACCTGAAGGGCCAGAAGTGAAATGGCTGGGTTCTGTCGTACGTCGGGTGCGGTGGGCAGGCTATCGTAAGCCTCAGAAGCGGTGGGGAGATCGCCCGCATCAGCCGCAGCAATACAGATGCGAGAAATGGCCTGATTCCGGGCTTCATCATGCAACTGATTCTTGGCCTGGTCCAATGCCTTGCTGTAGTCTCCGGTGTTGAGCGAGTGTTGCACAAGTGCATCTTCGACAATCACAGCTTCCACTGCAGACCACCGGTCCTGGCGACCTTCGGTTACCTCGTCGAACGAAGAACGAATACGATCAAGGAACTGCGCGGCACCATCCTCTTTACCACATGACAGGTAAGCACGGATCACAGCAGCATAGACCTGGCTGTCCTGGCGCTGTACGATACTGAAGACGCCACTATCATCGGAGACAGCGAGCCCTCGGTACTCGTTATAACATTCAACGGCACTTCTGAGATCACCAGTGGAAGCAAATGCGGTGATCATGGACGGGAAGATGGTAGCATGTGGAGTCATTTTCTGTGATTCCATATGGGCGTAAATCCGGATCATATCCTCCACCTTACCTTCCTTAGCACAGGCAATGATAAGGTGACGGTATATCTCGAGTGGGAAGACAAGTCGGTTGTGTCGTGCCGTGGCGGTATCAAAGAGTTTGACGGCGATGGACAGGGAAGTATCCTCAGCGAGAAGGTCCCGCTCCAATTCACTCGACTGAAGCATGAACTTGCCAGGCTCTTCCATACCACCGAATCGAACGCGTTCCTGCTCCAATGCCTCCTTGGCCTTGATCATGTCGTGAGCCCGGGTGACCAGAAGCTGAACAAGGGTCTCATAGGTATCTTCATCGGGAATTACCCTTCGACGAAGCATGTCAGAGTAGACATCGAGGGCCTTGGAAATAGCCTGAGCTGCATCAGGATGAAGACGGATGGCAGCGAGCAGCAGGGCATTATATGCCCCGACAGTCGGAGTAAATCCCTCTCGGAGCAGAGTCTCAAACGCAGCGGGGATTTCTGTAAATTTGTTGGAGTTGGCCAATCGCACAATACGATCCGAAGCAATCTGGTTGGCTTCAGAGACAGCTTCCGAAACGACGGCATCCTCAACAGCGGGTTCAGCAATCGCTTCTGCTCCCAGCGCAGCCTCCTCGGCCTGTGCCTGCTCCTCCTGTATTTGAATCTCACGGGCCACAGCCTCCTCCACTTGGGCACTAACATCCTCGTTCACGGCAGCCTTGGTGGGATGAGGAGCTAAATCGGACGCAGCCCGGTCTTCGTGAATGTTGTCAGCATCCTCTGCCGAGGGCTTCCAACCAATACGGCGCTTGAACTCGAACTGGGTCCAATCGCTGTCATCACCGGTCTGCTGGGCGTTCTGCCATGCGGCATAATAGGCAGCTAGACCGAGATCTCCATTTCCAGATCCTCCTTGACTTGTCTTGGCGCCAGCACCGGATGAACTGGACGCATTGGAGAAGGCATTCTGTAATTGGGTTGTGCGGGAGAATTTGGCGGGTTGGGCAGCGAGCGGGTTGAAGGGGGTTGTCGACGCGTATGACTGGGACGCGGCGACTACGGATTGAGCATAGCCATGAGTAAAGGCTTTGGTGAAACTCTGGCGCGCGAGGTGGGTGAATGGTTTGAAGACCATTTATCTGATAGGCAACCTCTTTAGAATAAAGAGGTAATGCTGGACCACAGTCAGTAGGTGTCGATGAATTTCACGTGCTTTTTCTTACCTTGCACTCAAGATAATATCGAAAGTGCAGGTTCATCTGACGACTGCCTGTCGCCAATGAACGCGCAGATGCAAGATTAGGATGATAGTATTAAAAGGACCTGTTGTTGACAGGGCCAAAAATTGGGTGAAAAGGGAGAAAAAGAGAGAAAGAGAGAGAGAATGGAAGCCTGAAAAATAAGAACGAGGGAGGGATACGGGCTTCTGGAAGGAGATGGAGTTTCACAGTGGACCAGCTGGTTAGGGCCGATCTTCTCCGGAGAATCCTCTTCATAGTCCGTACTCCGTTGGATCTACGTAGCTTTTGTGATTGCTCCGCCTTGTTCCTCGGATTTCCTACATGTCTATGTATCCAAGTCCTAGATGTTTGTACTGGTACATTGATGCATTGTATCTGGCATATCAGATCTTCCTTATACCGCGGGGGTTCCCAAACGAGTCGTCTCGAGGATACATCCACTGCAAGTATCCAGCACTCCCATACTACTCCGTAAGCTGAATTCGAACAGATCAGGTGGTAAAAGTAAAAGTACGCGATAGACACCAATCAACATCAAGATATTCGCTTGAAACCTTGGAAAAAGGGTCCCTGGAAGTGAGTCACGTTTTCCTTCCGGTTCTTTTTCTTCTTTCCTTTCCTCGGAACTTCCGCCTCGTCTTCCCCGGCCATTCACCGGCCATTCGGCCTCCCGACTGGCCGACTCGGCTTTAACGGAGAATGACGAAGCGGCAAAATAAAAGTCTGTAGGCGGTCAGCCTGTGATCTGGCCTTTGATTTGATTTGTAACCTGAAACCAACCCGTCGTGAACAGGGGTTTGCCTCACCCTGCGCTCTCCCACATGACATATCGGCTTTATGATTACTGTCTTTGATTCGACATAGTCGACGTCAGTTGGGGGTGGATTGGCTCCTTGTCTGGGTCTGAAAATGCCCAAAATCGGACTTCTTCAGTTGAGATCTCACACGGATCTTACCCGTGGCCAGGCACCTACCAGACTCTGGCCCGGTTCTTAATGGGGTATTTCCCGGAGATAATAACAGTCCTGGTGGACCGATTTTGGGTGATTTTCAGGCTCAAACGAAGAGCTAATCCACCTTCTGAACTTGTCGAGTCTTCCTCGTGGTGCTTATCCTTTATGAGTTGGATTGAGGGTACTTGAAGGTAGTCCACTAAGAATAGTAATAAAGCACACTGCGGTACGCTTTGCATGAACATACTTACTCCCCTAGGCACCACGGTGCGATATGACAGTCTATGTCGGACGACTGGGATATCAACATCCGGCGTTGTTATTGAAGAGTTGCCACGAGGCTTTGCTTGCTTTATCGAAGAGCATGCCAACAAATAAAAACGTGCTTGCTGATGAGGGTTGACGACTCCCCATCGCGGTGCGTACACTTCACCTTCTCACACTAGCCTGGCTAGCATATAATTATTATAGACATCAATACCATCCGAGCCTCTGTGAGAGAGACACATCCCAAAAATAGCCGAGAAATAAAAGGCACCCGTGGCGATCCGGCTGGATCAAACAGCACTTCCAGCGAGGGACGACATGCCCAAATGCTGGACACACCGACTACCGACCAAATTGTCCGGAATGATGAAATATAATTTTTCAAATTGCTAATATCGCTATTAGATCACCTTAACCTCAAATACCGGTGATACCGGCCGGCAGATGCATCCCTGCAAAATCATCAATGTGTTGCGAGTACTACATACAGACTTGCAGTTACCTGGTCATTTCAACCGACAGTCACGAGTGAGAGCTCTATCTAATATGTACTCGCATCATTAAGATAAAATAAGCTACCAGATGCTCTCTATATATATGCGAACACTTCATGATGATACCTAGTGCTAACTAACTCTATAATGAGGCTCTGCTCTACGTTATGAATCGTATGTTGTACGTTGTACACTTTATTTAAACTGCCTCTAGAACTACGAGAAAAGCCAATGTGATGTCAGTGGGTCATACATGTACTGACACTCCACATGGGCGTCGATCGACATCCGTGCGAGTATCGCAGGTGGAGATAAGTGCAGCACAGACTCTGCGGTGCCGTCAGCTGTTTTGCCAATTTTCTCATTCATCCAACGTAGAAAATGTCTGGCTGTGTATACCTACATCGATATAGCAACTATGGCACATCGCCACATGCATCCAGAGAGCTCTGATAATCCCTAGTCTCATCTTGGAAGTTGATTTTATTAGTGAAGATCAAGTATCAACAGTAAAGTCCTCTATACAGTTCACACATATTCCCACTGCCCAGCTATAAAGCCGAAAATGAGAGGAAACATCTAAAAAGTAAATAATAAAAAAGACTACCAAGATACAAAAAAGACTTGTAAAAAGAGTTTCAAAAGACTACTAAAACAGACTACCAAAAGGACAAAACAAGTGAGGATAATCGGATCATACGGACATGAATATCATCTGGTGAAAAGAAACGCTTTCAGGTGTTAGCAATGAATGGCAGCTGCTGGGAACACTACCACACCCACCAACCAATGTTCAGCCACGCTCAGCCACTCTTTTCGGCATCGGAATACGCCCGCAAGGCAATCGCTAACAGAATGCCACCAACTGCCTCCATATCACGTCTGGACGTTGTATTCCAGGGTCCGAATTCATGCATTGTGAGGAACGGGCGGGGTGATTTCTCAGGGAGCATATCGTTGAGATATTGAATGTAACTGTCGGCATACTCCGCGAAAGTGATGAATATCTGGTGACGGTCCTGGGATACGTGAAGACGACTAAAAGTTGTAAGTAACAAACAAAGCCAGGTATATGAAATGAAGCGACTTACTGGCCCGGGAGGTTCAAAGCGCCAGTGTGATCAGGATCTGATTTTATCCATGCAACCATCTGCGCAGACTCTTGCATGCGAATAGGATTTAGCTTCTTCCTCCTTAACATTGGCTTTACTTCAATCAATGCCCGTACCCTCCCTGATCCTGTATCCTCAAGATACCCATCGGTTCGTGCTTCAAAGGAGGCATGTTCGAACACTGCCTTGAACGATTTGCGGTGCAAGGTCCAGTTGCTCGCCTGAGGGAAGTGCATGCTCAGCGCATTTAAGAAGTCAACCAGGGCGGTGTTGACAATCTGCTCATCCTTCGTCCGAGGATACATCAGATATGCAATCTCCTTAGGCCCTGCAGAATAAAAGGGAGTGTCCCCATCCCTGGTATCCGGAGTCTCCTCATCATCTGAGTAGTCTGGCAGTGTCCCAGTTGACTTCGATGGGGTTTGGGGATATGGTAGTTGTTGAAGTCTTTGCGTTAAGTCACTCATTTTGGATTCACCCGCCTTGGATCGTGTACGATTTGCAATGGGCGAGATTGCCACGTTCGATTGGAAGGTTTCATCGGTGGAGACTGCAGCCCGGGTCTGATACATTCTAGCCAGGGCAAATGTCCCTTGAAGGATAGGGCCGCTTTGGAAACTTGCCCGGTAGTCGGTCCAGGATTTGAACGTCGCAAGCAGCTTGTCCGCTTTTATTTTCCATTTTTCCAGTTCGTAATGTTCCAGATCGATATTTTGACCTTTATTTTTAGTCCAGAGAACCTGGAGCAACAAGTACTGCTTCTCACTGATGGTGGATGCAGAGGTGAGGATGGCATCGTGGATTGTCGAATTGGAGACCTCGTGCGTAACTGCCCATTGATTCCATTGAGTCTCGTTCGAGGGGAGATGGGTATCTCTTGACATTGTATTGCGCGGAATATAACTTGTGTACTAAGTAGGAGGAAGCATCGGGCTCCGAGGGCTGCTCTCTTTATGCTGGGTCAGGGCGAGGTATGCGATAATTGCCAAGCGCCCATCACATCTCCCCTGTGTTGGGCACCAAGTTATGGTTCAAGGCCACACATCGGCGGGAATATAGCAAGCGCTAACATCATCCTTTTGATAGGTTCCACCAAGTGTTGTGGCTGGGTGAAATCAGCCTTCAGAACTCGATGTACTCCTCTTCACCAATCAACGGATGAAGGAATGGGATCTACAGTGAATCAATGCATGAATGAATGTGACTCTAGCGTGATGAGATGCATTGTGATTCATCTTACCGGCGAGGCCGGCCAGGGCGAGCAATCACAAGGCAGAAATGGTCCGCGTGGCGTCGTGAAATATCAAAATAGCAGTACGATACATCTCTTCGAGTTAGATAATAATAAGTGGCGGCGCTAAAGTGAGGGGAACAGAGTCGCTCGACGTTGCCAAGCAAGTAACAAGTAGTTAGTTAGTTAGTTACGGAGTATTGGTGCCTTATATCTCAGGCCGCAAAGCCCGCCCTTGTGTCCCAAACAGAGAAAACCACATCCCCCATCTCATCTTCCATCTAGCTATCAACCTTGCTGATCTCTTGCTCGCTCTATTATCGCTGGTCATTTAAGCAATATTCTCATCCATCCTCGTCAAACTCAAGATGGAGGAAGATTTTGTCCTAGAGCGGACTAAACGTCGTCACGCGTTGGCTGAGATTGAGAAGCTGATCAAGAAAAGCCCGAATCTGCATATTGAACCCTCTGAACTGAAGGCGGCTGGTATTTGCCACCTTCCCTTGTCCCTTGAAGGGGATACCCAACATCGTCCACAATTCTTCATGCCATACCAAGAAGAACTGCCGTTCCCGTCGAAGGAGGAGGAGAACGAGCTGCTAGAACGAAAGCCTAACCTGGATTTCATCATGTGGGAAGCTCGCGCTACTGAGTCTTTTCTTACTAGCAACTTTGGTGATTGCTTGTCATATGCATCGGATAAGTACCCCCATAATCCGCCACCCTCTGGCCAATATCGAGAGTAAGTTGCCTCTCACAGCTACCTTGTCTTGCCCGCTGACCGTTCATGACAGACTTGGAGATTATAGATATTTTGGTCAACTGCTGGAATGTATCGACTTCAACTGGTACGCTGTGGAAGCAACCGATTATCGGGAGGGAAATTATCCACACTTCAAGGTCATCCTGGAAAGTGAAGCGAACGGGGATGGTCGACTGCTTCGCGGAGAAATCATGACCATCACCGGTATCATGGTTGGTCGTTTGAGATCCAAGCGGCTGCGCCCTCATGTTGTTGCCCCGGTAAGGCCTTCCATAATGGATGGATTCTAAACGATCTACTAACCTTGCTCTGGTAGATGCTGGTCCTGTCTCTCATGGGTCCTCGTCATGCCCGCGTCCTGGAGGCAGATTTTGACGGAAAGATTCTCAACATACGCGCTTCTAAGTTGTACGATTTCACGCAAAAGAACACCGAGTTCGTGCATTCGCTGACGCGGTATTGGCTTGGTGGCGCGTGCGGCAAGACTGAGCTGTGAACCTCCTAGATCGGTGGGGAAGTTTGTTTATGCTGAACACTGCGATATGGTCCTGTCTGGTAATGGAAATGCAGCTCTTATGATATGATAATGAAATTGCTATCTCATGGACGAGCGTCGTTCCCGATACGACGTCTACAACTTAAATCTCTAGTTGATTGCATGTGGACAAAACAAATCTAGTGAATTTGATAGCCAATGAGAGGATGCATTGTATTTCATTCTAGTACGGAGTACTCCATAGTTCCATTCCTACTCCATCCAGTATGGGGGTGGTCCCGCCACGGTGATCCGCGGTTCTGATTTGTCAGTCTTTGATCTCTCACGCGGAAGGCATTGAGCCTCGCTATGTATGGATTGCTGCTGTACCACTGGCTCGTACTACTTAATAGCTTGCCAAGAAAGCACCATCGTGGAGCTTGCGCGGTGCACAACGAATCCACGGCTTTGAGGGGTTGACAACCGACATAATCTCTAGTTGCATTGGATGAAACATGATACAAATCTGACCATAACATTGGAAACAAGTGCAGCGATGCTCAACATAGCCAATGGGAAACGTACCACCTTGTGTGGGCTTTCTCGGTTAAGGCGACAATTGGAGTGCTTAAGTTCATAACTACTCGAATATTTGTCATGGAACAGTAAGGAACAAAAAGGCCAAGGACTTTATCTCCCCAAACAGTTCGACTCATCTAGAGTGGGTCCCGAAGGAATCCACCATTGAATTATGGCCAAGGTTAGCTAACTATTCCGTACAACATCCTTCGTATATGCCTGTGGTTCGACTGAGCCAAAGCCGTTGTCTACAGCCTTGCTAACTATTGGACTGTCATATTTAGTTATGTGATGCTGGTGGTTTCAATTATGTAGATACAAGGTAAGTTTACGGAAGGATCTGGATCGCTTTGAGGGGTCTCAAAGCAGTTAGCAGTACGAGCCCCTTGTATAATTACCCCTGACATTGATAGATTGTTTTAGGTAATATATTCCTAGTAATACGGTAATGGAGTAAAAGATCATGCGGTATATTGTACATAATTTTATGGCTCAGAAGTATGGGATCAAAGTATCTTTTTATGAGTACCTTCTGAGAATCCTCTGATATCTTGTAGGAAGTAAAATACAAAAAGAATACAAGAAATACAACACGAGATCGTAATGTTAACAAGTATTAATAAAGTACTATTGATAAGTACTGAGTACTATTGACAGTATAACCTTGGCAGAAGCGCTGATATCACGTGCCAGCACTAGGTGCGTGCATAAGTCGTGGGTCCACCCACACGGGTCATGGTGGGAATCAATGGGCCGTGGACACCCGTCACCTGTGGCCGAAAAAGGCAGCTCGGGAAAACGAAATTCACAGATTTCTCCAACTGTTCTTGAGAAACCTGAAATGCTTATTTGATCGACACAGGTAGCCCTCAACTGCTCACCTTCTTTTTCATAGAGGTTGATCTGATTCAATCTTTTCCCCCACTTGGTCTTGGTGTCTGGCCATACTCCCGTACATAGTACTTTGTTATCCACCTAGGCACTAACGCCAACGGTGCATGCAGGTGGCTTGAACTATGACGTGAGAGTAATTTCAAGGTCATATTTATGACTCACACCATAGACTTGCCCAGGTGCATATTCTAAAAATCCTGCTTTATGCTACCTGAGCTCGACATAAAGATACCCTAGTAATCTTTCGGCTGAACCGGAGATAGAAGCAATGCCAAGGGCTCTCTAGGAGCATAATACTCGATTTGGAGCCCACGTGACCCGGAAATACGGGAATCGGTAGGGTCTCGGAGTTGAGTTTTCGCCCGGACGATCCATGTGGGTCGCCAATATATCAAGTCCCTCATAATCTGTTCAATCAGCTCTCATCATCTGCTTTAGGGTTATTTACTTGACCTTTTGCTTGAATTGGTATTTAGACTAAAAGAAAGAAAAAAAGAATAGAGGAATAGAAAAACAAAAGCTTCTCGAAGGTTGCCAATTCGTCTCACCAAGTTCTGGATCACTTGAAACGACTCGGGAGGAAGTTCCGGAACCGTGGGTGTTTCAACGGTTAATAGGGAAGCTCAAGGTCTTCGGAGATTAGGGTCTAGGCCGATGTAATGATGCACTACGTCTATATTTTTCTTTGTATACTTCGTATTGTATATCTGACATCCCACATTGGGTGATCAACATGTACGATGATGTTGGCTAGTCGATTATTATCATGTATCTAGATACCCATATAGAATACAGTATTCAAACTATAGAAGTGGGCCTCCAGGGCTAGATCGGCGTTTCCATGACGATACTCATTTCCTTTTAAGGACCCGCGTCATCCATGCCTGGGCATGTCGTAGTCGCGTGCAACGGCCTCCTTCACCTCCTCCGCCACAATTGGATTTTAGAATTCGGAGCGAGAACGGAAAGCCCTAGAGAAGGATGGCAAAAAAAGTGAAGCAATTGGGAATGATGGTTCTTGGTTATCCGAATGAAAATTTTTGTTCTTCGGGTCTCTGCCGTCTTAAACGGGATCAAACCATTATTATTGCCGGGATAACCGGTAAGAGCTTCCTCGTCTGGTGACGAAATCCACTATGTGGCTACTGGCCATACAGCTGTCTCGGCGAATGATTTTTCAATGAATAAAGGGAGTGACTGTGGCTCGGAGCCGTAGTGCTTATAAATCTCGCCAGATCCCCTACAGGGCTGTAGCCGCTGGTTACTTACTACACATACCCCCTTTCCCCCAACCTCACCTAATATATACCTCTTTTTTATATAATAATAGCTTGTACAAAGCTCTGCTATCATGACGCAAACACTCCTGGACACACCGCGCCATCCCGGGCGCAGCGAACGAGGCTCGGAGAGTGATAGTTCGCTCGACGAGGTCGCGCAGGAGAAGCAGAATGCGCTGGTGGCCACACTCGGCCATCATGGCAAGGACCTCGACAATTCGGCATCCCCGAAGCGGTGGAAGAGTTTCTGGACGGCATTCCGACACCTGTCGCACTTGACCCCGAAGCAAGTTGACGATTTCATGGCGTCATACGTCATCTATAACCTTGACTGGTCCGACGAGAAGCAAATGACCGAGGCTCTGGGCCCCAATTACCAAGAAAAGGTCGGTGATTGCTTGAAGTCCTATTACGGAGTCCTGAACCACCTTTGCGCACTGGGCGATGTCGAGAAAATGTACATCCCACCGTGGATGAGCCCCAAGTCCAGCGTGCTCGAGAATCAGATCCTGTACGAGCGCTCAATCGCGCACGACATCGGCTTGGGGACAGGAATGAAGGTGCTGGATCTGGGCTGCGGCCGCGGGCGCGTCGCTGCCCACATGGCGCAACACACCGGCGCCCAGGTAACGGGCCTCAACATTGACCCGAACCAGGTCGAGCAGGCCGCGGCCTTCAACCAGGAGCGCGGACTCCAGAATAACTTCGTCACCCAAGATTTCAACGACCTCCCCCTGCCTTTCGCCGACGAGAGCTTCGATGCCTTCTACCAGATCCAAGCACTGAGTCTGTGCAAGGACCTGCCCGCCCTGTTCCGCGAGGTGTTCCGTGTTGTCAAGCCGGGCTCGAAGATCTCCCTGTTGGACTGGATCAGCCTGCCGGCTTACGATCCTAGTAACCCGGAACACGCGGAGCTCATGCGCCGCGTCAAGCCGCTCATCGGCGCGGTCGGTACACCCACGCAGGAGACTCTCGAGGCGGCGTTGAAGGAGGCTGGGTTTGAAGTTGTGCGGTCCGAGAACGCTAGTATCGATGGTCTCCAGGCCCCGCTTATCGATACCGTCGATGTATACTTCCGCACCCTCCGCCAGGCGATCCTTGCGCTCGTCAAGGTGCATGTGCTGCCGCGCCACTTCAAGACCTTGATTAACCGTCTCTGTTTGGATGGACAGGCTTTCGTCAAGATGGATCGCATGCGTCTGGCCACAACGAGTTATAGTATCATTGCCCAGAAGCCCAAGGCATAGGCCCCGGACAAGTTCTCTCGGCCACACTCGAGATGTGAGGAAGTTGGATGGAAATGAATAATTTTCCTTCTCATCAAACTCTGCGGCGATCAAGTCGGGCCAATTATCCAGAGCACATCCCCCTCCCACCGCCACCGCCAACGTCATCGTCGCTCCTCACATCTCGATTGGACATCTCGACACAAAATACCCTGTACATTTATAATCAACGGATTAGAAGGCTGGGGGATTTGACGCATGGAGGAGTTTCGGTTATTTATCTCATTTATTTATTTTTGATTTTTCAGAGGGGTTTCTTGAGCAATAAGGAGTTTATAAAGGGAATTGCATCTACATCGGGATAGTAGTACATGTATGTATGTACATCAAATATATCTTGTTCCGAGTAAATATCTGCGACGATAAGTAGTTATTAAGGAAGGCCAAACAAAATAATAAAAAGCCTCAAGTCGGGATTCAATCTATGAAACCAAAAAAAAAAAAAACCAAAAAGGAAAGGTCGTGCCCGGGATCGAACCGGGATTGCTGGTATCAGAAACCAGAGTGATAGCCATTACACTACACAACCTGATTGATGGAAAAAGACCCAACTTTTAATTTCAAGACACTATTTTCATGTTTTCCACGGACACTATTGTCAGGTCCTGCAACATCCCCACTAGTCCCTATTAGGATAATTCCATACAATCTGGGAAATGTTCAAGTCTCGTTTAAGCTGCATCTGCATGGCAGCGTAAGCCCAGCACACCTTATCCGCGCCATTACAACCTACTCCTTCCCCCCCAACCACCCCGTGACCGCGGGGCAGTCCTTCCATAATCTCCAAGCGCCCCGTAGATCCCGGCATTTTTCTCCCCCACAACAACAACAACCATATCTCCAACCTACCAGTACTCCATGTCTCCTCTACCGCCTTCCGTCACGGCACTGTCTGCGCCGGGCAAGGTTCTCCTAACCGGTGGCTATCTCGTGCTAGACCGCGGCTACACGGGCACCGTGTTTGCGCTCGATGCCCGCATCCATGTTATTGTCCAGCAGCTGAGGAGGGGTCACCGCCGCGGGGTGTCGGGATCCGAGCCTGCTCCGGGCGTCGAGGCGCTATCCAATTCGGGTGTTGAGGACCAGGGCGGGGAGGATACCATTGTTGTGCGTTCCCCACAGTTTGTCGATGCGGTGTGGGAATATGGTGTGCAGCGATGTGGGAATGGTGGGGGTGTCAAGGTTATCCAAAAGGGAGATGGGTATGCTTGGCTGTCGCTGTTTGCGCGAAAACATCAATTGACTAATTCCACCTTGCTTCTCTCTAGGCCGCGAAACCCCTTTGTCGAGACCTCTCTCAGCTATGCATTGACTTATATCAGCTACGTTGCTGACTCTAAGGACTTCGGGTCCCTGTCTGTCACCATCATGGCTGACAGCGACTACTACTCGGAAACCGCTGCCTCCAGGGGCCCGGCGTCGCAGGGACGTGGTGGGCGCTTTGTCAATTTCGGCGTTCCTCTTTTTGAAGCCCACAAGACAGGACTGGGCTCTTCGGCTGCTCTCGTTACTGCGCTTGTCTCTGCCTTGGTCATTCACCGTACCATGCAGCCGGAGGATCTCGGTACTGGCCGGGATAAACTTCATAACCTCGCTCAAGCGGCCCATTGCGCAGCCCAGGGTAAGGTCGGATCTGGATTCGACGTTGCTAGCGCTGTCTACGGTTCGTGCCTCTACCGACGCTTCTCGCCGTCAATCTTGGAATCTCTCGGCGATGTAGGCTCGGCTGGTTTCGAGGAGCGTCTGTTCCCCATCGTGGAGGACTCTGATCCCGAGCATCCATGGGACACCGAGTGTGTTGACTTTGGCATGCAGCTCCCCCGTGGGATGCAGCTGGTTCTGTGCGACGTGGACTGTGGCTCTCAGACGCCTTCGATGGTTAAGAAGGTTCTCGAATGGCGGAATAACAACCGCAAGGAAGCGGACATTCTCTGGGCTAGCCTCCAGAATAACAATGAGCGACTGCGTCAAGAGCTCAAGCACCAGGCCCAACACCCCGATGCCAATCCCGAAGGCGACTTTTCTGATATTCGCACCCTTATTCAGCGAACACGCCAGCATATTCGCACATTGACCCGCCGGACGGGCGTCCCCATTGAACCCAGTGTGCAGACCGAGCTGTTAGACAGTGTTTCAGAGATCGAAGGTGTCATTGGTGGTGTCGTGCCGGGGGCTGGAGGATACGATGCCATCGCGCTCCTGATCCAGGATGATCCCACTGTGATTGTGCGTCTGAGAGATCATCTTGCGAACTGGACGAGCACGATCGAGGATGACTTTGGAGGCAAGATCGGTAACGTACGACTGCTAGGCGTCCAGCATGGATCCGAAGGTGCGAAAAACGAAATGCTGGAGCAGTATGCTGGTTGGGTCTAGCTTGCTCTGCTCTACTAAAACAAGGCAACTGGTGTCCCAGCCCACCATGACTTATCAACGTGTTTCGGCTACCAGCTTAGCCTTTTCTCCCCTATTGCATCCTGGGCCGGACCCTCCAGAAAATACACAGGCCTGTAGGATAATTAATTGCACGAATCACAGCTGAAACATCGACTTTGACTCGGATGTTCCTATATTTCACCTCCCCTACCACTCCATCAGTGCCCACCTATCTGCGTCTCTATCTTCAAACTCATCCCCCTGCATATGCACTACGAATCCCATGCTTGGCCGAGGATTGCCCGTTCTTTTTTTCCCCGACGTCCCCCTATGTGCGACCAGGTCTGTTTGCCAGGTATTTCAATATAGCCTGGACTACTCTCAAGGGAACGACCTCTGCAGGCTAATATTCTTCGGCTTTATGATACCTAGTATGTGAGATAGAATATACATAGAATCCACGTGCACTTGCATTTTATGGTGACAGTGAAACAATGAAACAATGAAACAGTGACAACTGCATGTATACTCCGTATTATAGTCATGAGATCCCTAATCGTCGTACAGAGAGTACAAAGCTACACATGTGGAGAAAGCGACCTGTCTTGCCCATGCAACTATCCAGAGATGTCCAGATCTACATAGTATTAACGACGTAGCATACAAACAAGACTCTTGGCCTAACTAATTTCCCCGGATCTTCAATTGCTATTCGCTATTTACTCTTATAATAACACTATAGAACTAAAGTACCAAAATACTAGATTATGGGCATGTTTTATTTTTCTTTGACTCAAAAATAGGGGAAACATTTTGCGTGCAGTTAGGGTCAAGAAGCCTATTAGGCCTGCAGATCCCCTTTTGCCTTCTTTCTTTCTCTTCAACCAATTCAAATAATACAATCGAATATCATTTGGGGGGGTACATATACGTACAGCCATTCCATCCACACTAGTTGAGGTACTATCGCGCCTCCCGCTTAGTCTTGAGTCTTGACTCCTCACATCTGCACTGCATCTCCCTCCCTCTGTCTCCTCTCATTCCAGCTCTCACAGACTACCACTCTTCACCCAAACATTCTCCCGTTGACAGTGCCCCCTTTCCTAACGGGGTAAAGTCAATCGTCATCCGCCATCGGGGCATCCTAAAATGTCCACAACCGATCACCCGGAGTCGGGGGCAAACACCAACAGAGATATCAACCAACCCCCAACCACAACACCGCAGGACCAACAACAGACCTCACCGACCACAGAGCTCCAAGCCCAGCCAGACCTCGCCGCTGATACATTCATCCCATCTGCCCATGACCAAACACCCATGAACCAGATCCAGATCCACCCCGCGACTGGCCCTGGTGGCGAAAGCGAATTCGCCCCCGAGACAACATCACCGACCACCAACCCTTCTCAAACTTTCGATAACGAACCTGCTGTCGCGCTGGCAAAACTGACTACATCACCTTCAATGGATACCGACGAGCGAAAGAATGCGCCCGAGACTTCGACCGAGCACTCCGATGATGGCTCCGGGAAGGAAGTCGAGGAGGATGATGCTGGCCCGGCGCTGGTGATCACGCTGCTGTTGACAACGGGGTCGCGACATCCGTTTACTATCGATGGAAACTATCTAAGGAAGCGATCGGTGAATGTTGAGAACTTTGATCCGTTCTTGATGAGCGTCTACACGCTAAAGGAGTTGATCTGGCGCGAATGGAGACCTGGTAAGAGTTCGACCCAGACCCAGACATCTACATGGACATTGGATGGGCAGGATCCATCCTGATGTGGGATGTCATGGAACGAGAGTAGCTAAGCTAACATGGTTGTTGATGCAGATTGGGAGACCCGTCCCTCGTCACCGAGCTCTATCCGTCTTATTTCGTTCGGGAAGTTGTTAGATGATAAATCGCCTATTTCTGGTATGTTTTTCCCCCTAGTCATTGCATGGTTGCTATGGTCATAGACTTTGATACTAACAAACCGGCTAGACTCCAAGTTCAGCAAGGAACATCCAAACGTCATCCATATGACCGTCAAGCCGCAAGAAGTCGTCGACGATGAAGATGCAAAGGGAACCAAGACACAATACAGCCGGGAGCGCGAAGCAAGTGAGCGCAGCCCTGGATGCCGATGCGTGATCCAATAATCTCGCTGCCCGAGCTACGAGTATCAGGTGTCGAGGGCATGCTTCCAGCAATGCTGTTGTCTGCTGCTTACTACTTCCACCTTGACACCCAACCTTCCCTTCCTTGTCCGTCTTCCGCCAATCCTGCTCCCTCAATCTACCTGTCATTGCAGTGATACGCCTAATTCTGCCTGGACGCAGGATCAACATCCCTGTTTTGCCGAGCCAACATGGGCGCTCTGGAAGCGGCGTTTCGACATTTATTTCTTCTGACCGGATCCTGGGACCATGATTTCGACCAGTTTTTCTCATATCTCTTATTTCTGTGCCCATGTTCGAGCCGTTTCCCTGTTCTCTCATCGCCATATCATCTGCATGCGGGCCTCATTTATCTCTCCATGGATCTTCTCTGGAGTGCTTCCATGTCTTCTCTCCGACCTGTCTTCCGAGGGCTCGTTCTGAGATTCATTCTTTGCTTTCCGGCATTGCTGTCACCATTATCTTACCCCGATTTCTCGATATATACCCCCTCCGATCCGACTTCCCTTTCTCTTTGTGCTCTATCATTTTCCCTGTATGGTTCCTTTTCTTATGGCCTTTCGTGTACTTACGACTTTGACCCCCTTCTTTGTCCTCCTTATCCTTCCTTTTCTCGCTTTTCATTCCTTTTGCTTGCTTTTTCTAACTGCCTTAAGGTGGTTAGTCGTAGTGTATAGGGTGTTTTTGGAGGAGGCTGACATGTTTCTTTGTCTTATATTTAATAACTTCTAAAGTGCCTATATATTTCCGCGGTCTTAGTGGGAATTGCTAGTCAATTCGAAGCAGACGATCAATCCGGAGTAGTACGTTGTTCATGCATAGTTTAGAAATCTCTATAATATAACGGCTGGAAGTGGTCCTGCAAGACTGCGTGGTAGAGATAGATCATGGATTAATTCAATATATCGAGAGTAATGCATTGCCTTGATAACGGACAGCAGAAACATCGGAAATGTATCAAGCCAAGTGATCTCTCATTCTATTTGACGACATAAGGTAGGAAGGAGTATGACGAGGGACGTAAGAGGAGAATAGTAGAACACATCGACATAGAAAAGAAGAGAAACCAAAAGAACACCATATCATCAAAGCCATTAGAAATCCATCTTGAGTCTCTTCTCCATCTCATCATGGAAAGCAGGCGGCTCACGGAGGTCATCACCTAAACCAACCAGGTCAGCCAAAACACATCCAAACCAAAACCAAAACACCAGATAAGAACCCAACATACCGTGGTAAATGTCCTCCCACTGAACCTCACTATCCCGACCTCCAATAACAAGAATATCCTCATGAACATTTCCACCCCGCACACCGCCAAGCACAGCAGGCCGGAAAGTCCCATCGCGAACGATCTTCAGCTCCATCCCGCGACGAACAGGCTCCGCAATCCCGTACGCCCGACGCAGTCCCTCCATCTTCAAGGCGTCCTGTGTCGCCCGCCACGAGATAAGTCGTGCCTCGAGCGGGTGCGTAGATGTGGGAACATCGCCGCTGGAGTTCGTGGACGACGCGTGCGCGGTGGCGGCCTGCGTGAGCTTGTTGCGGAGCGTATCAGGGAGTCCCGGGGCGGAGGGCGCGCCTTTAGATGGGCGGGGTGCTTGGAGGCCTGCTTGTTGCCGGGTTGTGAGGTTGCTCGTTTGTGTTGCGTTGCCGCTTGGGGGGGCGATGCGGAGGGACTGGGGTTTGTGTTAGTTTTGTGTGTTTAAAATTGGGATGGGGTTTGATTGAGAGGTTCAAGATGGAGTTTGGTGATGGTGGTGTTGGGAATAGGTGTTCTAAATGCTTGCTTATGGGCTGGACTCCAGGGTGAGGTTCCGGGTCCGTAGCTTGATAACGTACCATGATGGATTGATAATGTTAGGTTTTCGGGTTCAAGGCTCGAAATCACAGATTGGATAAGTGTAGGTCTGTATTCAAAGCTCGGAACGGAGATAGAAAAGCAGAAACAAGAGCGAAGGGAGGGTGTAAGATGACAAGCACCGATGATGCTTAGGCAGAGAGAAGCAGCGCGGCCAGCTCCTACGACAGACGAGGGAAACCAACTACGCAACACTCCAAATCCAATCACGTGCCCTCCACTTCCGCCGGCAACAATTCTATCGCGATATTCTCGACCCAGCGAAACGGGAGACAATTCGCACGCATCACACCACCCAAAATGTCCCAATTACTCTCCCCAATAGCCCGTCGGGCCCTACGGACTCTGACCCACCGTCCTGCGGTTTCCTCGCCCCTCTGCCGCACCCTCACCACATCACCCGCTATCTCCTTCGCCTCGAAACAATCTCCCATCACCTCCCGCCTCAACTTCCACCCCGTCTTCCGTACAGCCGCCGTCGGTTTCTCCGCCGTGCCAAAGCGGCAATTCTCCAGCTCGCCTATCATCCGCGCTACATACAACCAGGTCCGGCGCGGTATCCGCACTGGACAGCAGGCTCGTCGCGGTAAATCGCCTGCACTGAAGGGTACGCCTGGGTTGAAGGGTGTTTGTCTTAAGACTGGTGTTACCAAGCCGAAGAAGCCTAACTCTGGCGAGAGGAAGGTTGCAAGAGTGCGGTTGAGTTCTGGGAAGGTTATTACTGCTTATATTCCTGGTGAAGGTAAGATTTATTTGCACTTGAATTGGTGTTGGAATAGGATTCTGTGGACTCTGTTCCAGTGCTGGTTTTTCTTACGGGGCTTTTTGGCTAATTTTCTTGTACAGGCCACAATATCCAGCAGCATAGTGTTGTCCAGGTCCGTGGCGGACGTGCTCAGGATTGTCCTGGTGTGAAGTATACCCTTGTTCGTGGTGCGATGGATTTGGTAAGTCACTTTTTGCTTCTGTTTCTATATACCTACTTCCCGGGTGTATGTCTTTCTAGATCTTTTACTGATTATACTTTACTAGGGTGGTGTTGGAAGCCGTATGACGAGTCGCTCGAAGTACGGTGCGAAGAAGCCGAAGACCGACTAAGATGGATTTGGGGATGCAGGTTGATCATGATCGACCTGTTGTGAGATTATACAATATTGGCCTTGTTTCATCAGCTGCTGTATAAGAGACTGGGCTACTTGATTTTGGCTTTTTATGCTCTTCGGAGAGCAAACTCTTTCTGTTCATATTTGCATGTAACAATACGGATTGCGACTGTTTATTTTCATACTATCTGTTTCGACGTTCAAGCTCTTCAAGTCAATTTTATTGAAATAGAAGTATAGAAAATGGTTCCGGCAATATCACCTTACTCCGGACCCATGCAACGAAACAAACCCAAAAAAGGATGAACGCTTTAAACCCCATAGTAACACATGTCAGACATCGAAGTAAACCTCCTGGGCGTAACGCAATAATGGGAATCAAAATGAAACAGTTAAAAACGTAAGCCTGCAGCCTTTTGCCCAAGCGCCGTAAGATCGAACAGCATAGGTGTGATATCCAACCCGAGTAGAGTAGCGGGTGGACAGAGATTTCACCGAGTTTTTGTAGTTGCGGCGCAAATGGGTGACACTGTCAGCCCCCAAAATGCGCAGCGCTTCGTCTCAAGATGATGATAACCGACCCGCGCATTGTCGCTAAAAAGGAACGACTGGGCTATCCGTGAGTAGACCCAGAGGGATCGTGAACATAGTAAAATCAGTCGTATTTCTTGTCCCATCCGTTCGGCTTCTCCATCTTGTTGATATCGAACCAACGCTTGGTGCCTGTATCAGAATTAGTTTTGCACTAGAGGTATAAATTGGAGGGTCATGGACATACAAGAGTAATCCTTCCAGTCGAAGTTATCTTTCGGTTGGCAGGAACATCTCAAGTCCAGGCGTTTCTTTTCATCCGAGGGGCAATGTGTGAATGGGACATGGTAGTAGGCGATGTCATCCCAGAAATGGATTTCCTCCTTCTTTAACATCAGAGAAGCGGCGATGGAGTGAACCGGCGCATCGCCCCACCGCTCATAGAAGAAACCACCGTCCTTGTCCAAGGACGTGAAATAGTCAATATATGCGTCGGATCGCAGCCACTCCAAGCTGCCAATCTCGAAGTTCGACCACTGCCAGAAAAGTTAGGTCTGTTGGAGATTAACTCAATTTCAATCACTTACAAAGTGGCAGTTGTTGTAGCTTTCTCCACCGTCATTGCTGATGAATTCCATGGCATTGCCCTCTGAGACATACTCGGGGTGACTGCCTGTGAACTTCTTCACGCTATCCCACAGGGTAGGAATGGTCGCCACATACTCGAAGAGACTGATGACAAAACTATACTTCTTGTTGTTCTCCTTCATAAAGCGGAACGGATCGGAGTCGACATCACAGTAGAGCTCAATGCTAGGCTCGACGCGCCAGTAGTACTCATAGTTCATCATAAGCGGGTGGCGGAAGAAGAACCCAGACTCATAACGGCACATATGGCGGTAACTCTCGGAACCGCCGTAAATGATCTTCTTGCGGTCCATCTCCTGCCGCGCTTCTTGGGCTTTGTCCTGATCGATCCACTCTGGGTATGACCAGTGTTCCTTGGGGATGACACCATAATGAGTTTTGCCAGAGACCAACGCGGTGGTCAATTTCTTGAACTCTTCATCGAACTCGTGGTCGTTCAGGAACACCCAATCATAGTTGTAGTTGTGGTTGAAACGGTCCTCGACTGTTCGAATGGACTTGACCATGTCCCAAAGGTCGGAGTTGCGCGCGAGGGTGACAAAAGTGGCATTTACCCGTTCGCCCCGGTGTGAACCGATAACTTGCGGTTTTTGCGACTTGACTGAGTCGTATGTGGGGGTCTTGGGTGTAGGGGTGGTTATTCCGGTCGTAGGAATCGAGATGGAGGATTGTGAGATGAAGAAGAAGACCACCAATGCCTACTCAACATTAGCAACGGATATTCATGAACATGAAAGAAAGACTTACCACGACGGCAAAGATTAAATACCGCGCATATCGAATAGTGACGGACATGATGATGTTGGGGGGGGGAGAACAAGAATGATTCCCCGTTAAGT